GCCCGCCCCCGCCGGCCCAGGTAGCGAGGCTGCGTCGCCCGAGGTGCTCGGCAGCTCCTCCGCGCCCTCGGTTGTATGCGCCGCCGCCGTGAGTGGGAAGAAAGGAGGAGAAGGAAGCCGAGCAACGGGTCCCGCTCTCAGCCCCTTTATGTAAGCTTTCCGCCCGCTGGCGGTTGCTCCGCACAGGTTTGTGCCAGGGCAGGGCGAGAGTTCTCGGCTCGTTTCCTGGTGTGCTTTGAACACGGAGCAAATCACAGCGTAAATGTCAGCGTGGAAAGCTGCTGGCTGCTCTCTTGTCCCTTTGGAAGGGATTGGGTCTTGACCAGGCTTTCACCTAGCATCTGTGGGAATTGAAATACCTGGCCGTGGAAATCAGCGGGGGAACTTCAGCTGATTTCAGTGGCCTTTGAAGCAGGTCTTAAAGGTCCAGCTTCTGCGGAAACACCAGACTGAAGGCTTCCCCACTGAAAATACTCAGGCAGCCTGTCTCTAAGTGTGCACGTGTGTAATAGTTACATTGCTGAACATCCCAAGAAACCCCCACCAGTGAGAGCGTTTGGTATTTTGCCACAGTGAACAGCCTTTGGGAGCTAAATTACAACGTGTGTATGTACACGCCGTATGGGGAATACTGAACAGCCCATCGCAACCCAGCTGTAATTTGTGTGTATGCACGTAACACATTGGTGGGCAGCGTTGTAGTTGTAACCACCAGATCTTGTGTGCATTAGTTCTTAAACTACTGCACTGATTTATAAACAGGCAGACAGAATCAGACCTTTCATTCCTTCTTACATAAAAATCAAAGAATCAAACTGTCGGCCTACTCTGTGCAAAATCTGCGATGTTTCTGCCTGGCTAAGGCAGACCCTGCTTGTCCCAGCCCAAGAGTGTCTCAGCAGCTAATGGGTGCCTACACGAGGACCAGCACATAGTTGGGGGGATCCTTTCCAGCTGTGATCAGCCAAGACCACAATGATCACCACAGCCTGACTTGTTCTGTCATTCTGCTAAGCTTATTACTCATTTCATCTTCCTAGGAGCTTGTCATTTATTTAACTCCATGGTCACACCCACACCTGTAATCTAGGTGGTTACTTCACCAGAGTTACATGTTACTGCACAGATGACAAAATTCTGGAGTTCTCTATGTCCTGACAGTGCCCCGTGTAAGGGCTGATCCCACAGCATGCATTTTCCCGACCTGAAGCATAAGGAAGCCTGCAGGAACAAACCTGGAAACATCCCTAGAAAGGCCCTGGAGCTTCTTGCAGCTTTGCTTACGACCTCCAAAGAGCAAAGCAGGGTTGAGAGCCTGCCCAAGGAGCCAGGGCAATTCTCATCCAAGTCATGCCTATGCATAACAGAGAACAGGACATGGCATCCTTCATCCCATGCTCCAGAGTGGTCTGCAGGTCTGCCTTAGTGGCTTTTGAAGTTTCAAAACAGATGGTTTAACGCCATATGAATTACACAATGATTACTGTTTTAGTGTGGAATACAAAGCCTCCACCTCCATCCCCACCAGAACTGTATATTTTAAAATAAACCAGAGTTAAATTGATTTTTTTGAACTCTGCACAGTCCTCTCTCCCCTTCCCTCCCAACACACAGAAGTATGCACATTGCAAAAGATCAACTATACGTGCACACACAGACTCACACGTAAACACACCAGTATGTTTTCCTCTCTCTCGCAGACTCCCAGACATGACTCTCTGACACATCCACCCTCCTCCAGACACAGGTCCGCACACCCCAGCACTAGCCAGGGGTGCTGCCCACCAGAAGGCCTGGGGGATGCAGGAGGGCTGCCCCAGCCAGCCCAGCGGCAGGACCCCGAGCCGGACGGCTCCCACCACAGCTCGCCTGGCCCCTGCACTCCTGCGGTGGGTCTTGACAGTAACAGCATGGGCTTAGTTTCCTTTGCTCCGGAGCACACGATTTGTGAGTCGAAGACAAAGCAAAAACCAAAATAAAAATGATGGGATTTTCTGTGTAGTCTGGGCTCATACAGCAGCGCACAGGTCCTGGGTAGCACCACACGTGTTCTGCTAACTACTGCTGGTTGCTTTTGCTGCAGTTTCCATGAAGAGTAACTGACCCTAAACCCAACCATCTACCAGGTCAGCCCCTCTCCTCAAGGTCACCCCCTCCCTACATTTCTCTGTGTTTTCTGGTTATCCAAACCACGTAACACTCCCTCACCACCTGTCCTTGCCTCTCCTGCACACCCTCCTCTGCACACCCTCCTCCCTCCCCGTGGCAAGCAAGTGATGTCCTGCATCCCACTCAAAGTTCAGCTGACACGGACAGGCCGTGCCTCCTGCTGAAGCACCTCAGGAGACCCTGTCCCTCCCTCCTCTCAGGCAGTGGATGGCTTCCATTGATTTTGCTGATGTGGGGCTCCACCATCCAGGCATGGCCACAGCATCCTGTTCCCAGCAAGGTAACCAGGTTTGGTTTTGCACATTTGACGTCTTTTCCATAAGAATGAGAGAGAGGGAAGAAGGAAGGAAGGACAGAAGGAAGGAAGGACAGAAGGAAGGAAGGAAGGAAGACAGGCAAGCCCCCAGAGCTGCCTACAGATGCTCACCACCGCTCTTGCCAACCTTTGCTCTGTAATGACACTCCTCAACACCCCAGGGGAGCAGCGAGGCTCTGGGCACAGCCAAAATTATTGGCGAGAGGGAGGTGGTAGGAGAGCCAGCTCTTCTTATCTTGGGGGCAGCAGCTGCTGCCAACACAGGGGAACCCCTGAAGCTCCCTGGACGAGCCGTGGTGTCAAGGTGAGTGGAGGGGCCTACGCGTCGCAGCACACACAGCAGGGACAAGCCAAAAGCCGGGGAAGCTGTGCTCGCTCACTGTGGGTCGCTGTGCCAGCGTGCCTTCCCTCGCCTGGTCAGTCAGTCCCTCTTTCTTCCCCTGGTCCTGTTTCGGGCTGTTGCCCGAAAAAGAAGGTGTAGGGCAGACTGCTATTTGCTCGCATGGCGGGATGGAAGACCCGAGGAGGAAAGCTCACCCGAGGGGGCAGCGGAGGAGCGGCAGGGCAGCTCCGCCCGCGGCTGCTGCCCGACGGGCGCTGCGGCGGGGAGCTGGGCCGTCGGCCACGCCGGGCCGGGCCGGCTGCCCCTCGGCGGCGGCTGCGCAGGGGTCCTGGCCCCTCGTAGCGCCCGGGACGGGAGGCCTCTGCCCGGAGGACACGGAGCCCCTAGGCAGAGGGGGAGAGACGGCTCTTTTCCCCGGAGCAGATGACGGGGCTCCTCCGGAAGCCTCGTCTTTTTCGTCCCTGGGATTTATGGCTCCTCTGCTATTTCGTTCGCCCTCTCCGCCCTCCCGCCTGAAATACAGCCGGGGAGCCGCGGCGCTGCCCCGGCGCTGCCCGCCCTGTCCCGCGCCCGGCGGTGCCCCGACTAAGCGGTCGCTGCCAGGCCGGCAACAGAGGCGTGCGGTCCCCTCTCAGGGAGCAGCAAAAGTGCATGGCCCCATTTATTAGTGGATGGCGATTGCTAGCTTTCCCTCCCAGGCGTTCCCCGTTTGAATCTGAGCTGTTGTTAAAAAGACACACCACCTGCTCTGTGCTGCCAGCGAGCGGGGAAGGAGGCACAAAGGCGGGGGATGGGGAGAAGTAGCTTTGGCTGCACACATAAAAGAGAATTTAAAATAAATAAGCTCGGTTCCCAGGAAGCGCCGGACTCGGGCGCCTTCAGGGCGGGCGAACTGAAGTGAGCGGTCAGCAGGCGCAGAGTGCGGGCAGAGAGGGTCCGCGCACCCTCCCGTCTCCCGGTATGCCAGGTCGGGGGCTGCGGGGGCGCGGATCCTCCCGGGTTTCCCTTAAGAAGAGCTCAAGGACGGGTGCGTATGTGCAGAGCCAGCTCTTAGTTTCCCCGCTGCCTCCACCTCTGATGGCTTTCTCCGAGCGCAGTCCTCCAGCCTGACAGGACACGGCTGTGCCATCCCCCCTCCCCAGCCCAGAAACGTGCGGGTCCCCCGGAAAGCCAGCCCCCGGGGGTGCTCGGTGACGGGAGCGCGGTGCGTGCGAGAGCGGGACGGAATTAGGATGTGCCTGGATGCCGCCCCGCGGGTAATTTCCCCTTCCTCCCTTTCGCCGCAAGCCGTGCCCGCTGCGGCGGGGAAAGCCCGAGAGGTGCGGGCTGCCCCCCGGCTGCCCTGGGGCAGCCGCCCCCCAGCGCAGGCACGAAGCGGCCCGCTGTCCCCTCCGCAGCAGCGCAGGGGTGCACGGGTACCCTCCTCACCTCCCGCCCGGGCTCCCCAGCACCACCCCAAAGCCGACTGCGAACCGGAGGAGCCTGAGGGAGAAACCGCGGAGAGGGAAGCTGAGAAAAGGGTTGGGGTAAGGATGTATGCGTGTGTGTGGAGGGGGGGAGGCCAGACCACTGGTGAATGGCTCGAAAAAAATAATTGGGGGAGGGCGTGGAGGGGGGGAAGCGGAAACTTTCCTATAAAACTCAGCAAAAGTCCCTCCTCTCCACGTCAGGCCAATGACACTGCTGCCCCCAAACTTTCCGCCAGCAGGAGCTATAAGAACCTCCAAGTCTTCAACTTTCTCCCAATCCCAGACACCTCGAAGGGGCTCCAAGGAGGGATCGGGAGGGATTTTTTTTTTGAGGTTGGCGTGTTGTTTTTTTTTTTTTCCTCTTGGATCCTGATGCCATCCCCCCT